TATTCTTTTTTAAAACATGTACTTTACTATGCTCATGAGAAATTTGAGCGCTAGGATCATTGCTAAATTTAGACTAGCTTTTGATCATCATTCCTAAATTTAGCCTAATACTCGACCATCATATCTAAATTTGGCAGTAAGGAAAATAGTTTTTAACCAAAATCACGTGCAACCCTTTTAAAAAAAATTTATTGCATTTTTGAACGAATCACGAAATTGCAATTTTTGAAATTTGAGCGCGTGGCGCAGCAATAGGAGGTCTTTAAACCGAGCCAACCATACTAAATGATATTGAATGAACAGGAGAGACCGTCCTGCATAAGGAAAAGATTTTCACAATTGATTTACGTATGTAGAAAAAGTCGCGTGATTGCGCACAAAAACTTGTTTAACCTGAGATGTATTTTTTAATGTGTATATTTTGCTTTCTATGTTCTCAGTATGTGTGTGAAAAATGATCAAATGATCAAGTTGTTTTTGAAGGGTTACATAGGAGCTATATTTCAAGCTTTAGTGAACAAATTAAGACATTCTAGGCTCAGAATCATGCATTTTTGTTTTATAATATGTTTATTTAAAATTTTACCAATACAAGCATTTCGGAAATAATCATTCCTTCATCTTAATTTAATGTAACAAATTGTCATTAACCATTATCTTTTTTAGTTTATTATTATTATATAGGATTTTATATTTGAGACAACACCCTTTTTATAAAGTTCCATGACCATGTATTAATGTTATGCCTTTTTGTTCATCCTCTTTGATCACAACATCATTATTATTGACAAGAGATGGAGAGAAAGAAAAATGCGAGAAAACTATCTATGATGTAAGATAAACTTTCACTTGTAAATATTATTATTTATTTTTTTTGTTATATAAACTTGATACATTAAATTTTGGATAATATTTTATTTATTATATATAGTGAAAAAAATATTTAAACACACATGCATATATATCTTTAGAGGAACCATTACTAGCAAGAGGTTTAATAAATAATAGTTATCCCCCACGAAGTGGGGGATAACAGCAAATTTACTGCTGAATTTGTGGCCCAAAAGGGGTCACAAATTCACATGAAATTTGATAAATTTATCACCCCGAATGTGGGGATAAGAGAGTTATCCTTCGCTTCTATATGTGCATGATGTAGATCCTTGTAGTTTAAAAAAAAGCTTATCTCCAAAAACAAAATAAAATAAAATAAAAAACATATTCTCGTTCATTGAATGACTATTTTATGAAAAATGTTCACATTAGCAAGAAAGATTCATAAATCATTATTTACTGATAAGAATAGTGAGTTATTTTTTTTTGTAATGATAAACTATAACATTATATAGGCACTGACATTCTCTTAAACAATTATGAATTTCGAATCTGTTAATTCTGAAATTGACACCATAGACAATAATTCTTTGGAAGAAACTGAGGTACTTTTAATAAAGTCAATTCTTTTAATATATATATTTTAAGTTTTTAAATTTATTTTTTTTTTTTAGTCAAATGTTTATATACCCACAAACAAAGAAATTGAAGATACCATAAATTATGGCGAAGTTAAAAATACTACTCGTAATACACAATTCTGGTTGAAAGTTCTTACAGATATTAGAACCAAAATGGGATACAATTATGACATTGGTAAAATTACTGTTATAAATCAATTACAAGAAGAATTGATTCAATTTTTTCAAAAAAGACAAATCGCCATATGCACCAACATCAATAAAAAATTGTTTTGCTGCAATATGTAGGTATCTATGGGACAATTCAAACATTTCTCCTGTTCCAGATCTTTATGATGAACGTATGTTTCCAAGACTTCACAAACTTTCAGATGGAAAAATTAAAAAAATACAAGATTTAAGCATAATTAAACAGAAAAATCTTGATCCACTTGAATATGGCAAAATTTAAACACATCATGAGTTAAATAAAGACACACCATTATCATCCACTTACAAAGCCTATTTCTGGTTATGTTTCTTATGTGGTTTTCATGGTGGGGATGCTCAAAGATTAAATTGGTAAATGTGGAATTAACAGCTATTAATGGATTGACAATTACAATTCCTTGTGAAAAAAATAATGCTGGTGGTTTTAAAGATTTAAATAATTCTGGTAGGGTTATAGACATTCCACCTGACAATAAAAGAAAATTAATACCTGTCTCAGATGTCATCAATTACATATCTAAAAGACCTCAAGGGTTTAAATGTGAATTTTTTTTCCTTCATTGGTCTTCTAAGTCAGGTAAATAGCTACTATACATATCTGATTCTATTTTATATCCTTAACAAATGAACGATTAATATCTATATATTTATTTATTTAAAGACTTTATCAATAAAGGTATTTGGTTTATTGATGCTCCTTTAGGAAGACATTGTGAGATTGTAAACCGTGGACCAACCAATTGACCAATTAGAACGAACTTACTACGGAAGTCATGTGATGCGCTGAATATTACATCACGATTAACAATCATCTTTCTATATTTATTGCAACGGTTGCACGTCATGTTACACATGTAGATCATTACATCATTTCTATTTTTAACTTATTTTGTGACATAATTATTTACTTCGAATTATTAATCAAATTATTTGTAATAATGTCTCATAGGATTAGTAATTATGAGTCAGAGCATTAGTAATTAGCAATTAGTAAGCTAGTAATACAGAAAATAGGATTAATAAGCATATTTTATTGGATAAAATATTGTAAAGGTCATGTTATTTGTAATACCTCAAGAGGTATAAAAAGGCTTGGCTTTAGACCAGCATAACGGAATTTCTAAATGTCGATCATTTTCCAAAAATTGTTACACGGTTATTTATATTATTTTATAATAGTCGTCCTATTAAAAATAGGTCCGTCATATGACAAGTCACAGATTTGTATATCAAAAAAAAAAATTTTTTTATAGGCACGTAATTTTCAAGCTTTTTTATCATATCCCATACCCTGATCAAACCTGATCAAAGGTTTTCCCATGGCAGTATTATAAGTAAAGTTCACAATAATAGGAGGTTTAAAATGTTGTAATAACATGTACAAAATTTAAAATATGAAATATAAAAGAGTCAATGGACTTAACAGTATAAAAGGAACAAGAAACCTAATAATATTGCAGATAAGTTAAAATAAAATATTATCATTATGTATTTACAAATTCAATTTTTATGAAAAAATTTAAGAATTGAACTTAATAGTTACTTTTTTTTGGATATATTTTAGAAATTTAAAATAGTATTATCAAAGATAACACCTAATAATATTGCATATAAGTTAATGATTAGAATTGAATTTTATATATATTAAGTTAAATAAATAAATTCTGGCCAATAAACTCAATTAAATTTGTCGATCATTATTGACCAATCACAGAGAAATTCCATTATGCTCTTTAGACCAAGTTAAAGGGGAGATCGTGTTAATAACATTAATAATAATTGAATAAATAATTTTTTTTTCTTCCCCCCTCCCTGTTGTTAATAATTAAATAAACACATTTTACCTTATTACGAATTTTTGCATAGTTAATAGGAAAAGCCATTGTGAATTGTTCCATGGTCCTCTCTGATGATTAGTGGCTGGCCACTAATCATTAGTTAGAAACCCCCATTTGATTGTTCTATGCTGCTTGTAGGGACGCCTCAAGTGGTATAGTTGTAAATATTTCTTGTATATATTCTTTTTATTTTATTTATCATTTTTAGGCCAGCAGTACTTCATATTAGTACTGTAAAGAGAGATTGCGCAATAGAGTTTTGAGTAGGCTCTGAGCTGTGTGCTGATACAGGGAGATTAATATATTGGACTTTTATTTATTTTATTTTATCTTATATTTTATTGGACACAACCCGAGCTGTAATTGAATTTACACGCTCACAACATTCACATGAAAATATGATACATAAGATTTGTGAAACCACTGGAATAGATTTAGACCTAAAACATATTACAAATCATTCAATAAGATGCACAACTGTACAACACCTAACACAGCTAAATGTAATGAATGAAAAGATTATGTCAATTACTGTCATAGGTCAACAAGTGGTATTGCTGCTTATCAAACATTCACTAAGCAAATTATGCATGAAACTATAAATAAAATGATTCCTGATAAATGTGATGATTTCAATTCCAATCCTGGTTCAAGTAAGTATCAAAGATGTAAATAATATAAATATTACTGTATTATTTGAGCTAATTGATTTATTTCTATAGATGCATCATCATCATCACCAATATCAACACCATTATCAGATAAGACAAATTTAAATCATGATGAACAATCTTGTTTGCTGAAAATTTCTATAAAAAATTGTAGTAACATTCAAATAAATTTTCAAATCACACCAAAAGATTAATTTTCTAATATTTATAGTCATCATGCTATTAAATTTATTATAATTATGGCTTCTATTAATATGTATTAGAAAAAAATAATAAATATAAATAATAAATGTATATGTTGTGAAATGAAATCTATGTGAATTTGCAATTCACATATGTGAAATTCAAATTAGCCAATCAGAATTTCATATCCAAACACCCACTCCAAAATTTTAATTATAAATTTCGATTTCACATAGTTTCAATATATATAAATAGTGTAAATTTCCGGAGTGATAACTAATTAATTAAATTTCTGGTATGTTATTATTGATAACCACAAGGATCTACATCATGCGTCATTATAGAAGTGTGGGATAAATATATTTGAATGTTACAGATAACAAAAGACTGCTGAGAAATCGTGATCGGGAGGTAGTAAGAGCCACTAGCAGAAGCCATTGAAATTATTAATTGTATTTGTAAAGAAAAGCAATTACATTTTTGAGAAAAGAAAGTTGAATAGTATTGAAATTGTATTTGTATTAATTCGTGCTCCGTGAGACAACTGCAAAATTTTGCCGATCATTAGTATAATTTTGTGGCGATAATAAACAATATTAATATTAATATAATTTTTAGAATTTTTGGAATATGACCGCCCCTCACGTGATTAAGCATGATTACCGCGACATTAAAATTTAAAATTTAAACTTTTCAAAGTAACCAAACATCTATTTATATTTCTTTTTTTTATTGAATAAATAATTAAATATTATACTTGAATCTTAAGTTTTATATAGCAATTTTAGGCAAGAATCCAGTGGTCCCTACATATAAAGATAAAATATTTTATAAGAAAGTCCCTTTGAAAATTTGTATATTAAAACCTTGGGTTCCTTATTATTTATAAATTCGTATAAATAGTAGTTTTTTAGGAATGAAGTATGGATTCCAGAAAATTTCAATTAGTGATCTGCGAAAATTTGCGCCAAATTCTGTTATTGAAATTTTGAGACTCGGACACAATTTCACAACATGTATTTATATAAAATAATGAAGGTAAACTTGAAAGAATGTTTAACCTTATCGACTTATATTTTAAAAATGAGCAAAAATTCAAAAAAATAATTATCCGTCATCTGTAACTAAAACTGAAAAACTCATCAACCAAAATGAAAATGGGCCAGAAGAGAAAAATTAAGCCCTTGTCTGATCTACGCTTTTTAGATTGATTACTTCATTATATTATTATATGGAGATGAAAGATGGCTCTGCAATTAAGAAGTTGCAACCAGCTGCTGAATTTTAAATCGGCTTCCAACACCAACTTTATGAGGATATTGAATAATTGATGAAGGTAAGATGAGGACTGCAATGCTCTTGTGCTGTCTAGCAATTTTTGAACCCTGAAATTTTTCAAATTACATTTGCAATATAAACAACAGAACATCAATGTTTTTAAAATATAGCTCTGTTGCATTATTGTTATAGAGACATGTTCTGCGAGCTCAAACCATTTTTCGGAATCAAAAGTCCTCGTCTGTGTGATGAGTTATAACAGTTTTTGCAAGTGATTTTCAAAATTCTAAACCATTTATAATTTTGGAAACAAAATAGCTACAGAAAAATTAAAAGTATTTTTACGTAACTCCTAAAAACCTTGTCTATAATGTAACAGAGCTGGTTTTTTGTCTATTACGATTTTTTAAAATTTGTATTAGTAAACATTTAGAATATGTGACAAAAATTACATTTGCGATATGAAAATACATCAATGTCAGTTTTCAGAATCAAAATTCTCGATTGTACGATGAGTTATAACAGTTTATGGTGCAAAGCGATTTTCTTTAATTAAATAAATTGATTTTAACAATCAGAATATTCAAACGTCATATAACTTTGGAAGCAAAATAGCCATAAAAAAATTTAAAAATGTTTTTAATTACCAAGAACCTTGTCTATAACGTAACAATGCTATCCTTTTCGTTTATTATGATTTCTTAAATTTTGCATCTAGAAAATCGAGTTTATGATCGACAAAAATATCTTCCTTTATTATTTGGGGGCTTTTCAATAGAAACGGACCATGTTGTGAAAAAAGCAATTTTGAGTTAATGCAAAGAACATTTTTTGGTTTAGAAACCATATACCATATACTCATTTTGCAAAAACGATAGTAAATATTAAAATGTAGATCTTTTTTAACAACATGGTTCGTCTCTATTGAAAGCTCCAATACGTTTGTGATTATACATATCTAACACCCCAATAGTGGATGTCACAATATTCTGAGGCGCAAGGGATCTGTCTGTTCGTACAAAATTTTCATTTATCACAAAAGATGAACGAGTGATTAAAAAAAATTTTTTTTTAATATAAAACTTTTTTTTCTAACGACAGTAATAATTCAAAAGGCTTCTTTAAAGCCTTTTCTTCTTTTCTTTCGCCACCATGACATTTCTTCAACGTTCAGTGTCTAGGCTAATACATAGTAATGGTAATAAGTATAGGACCTTTAATAGAAGCGCATCAAACTTTTATAGAAATGGTTTTTTAAGAGCTAATACAACAACCATAACAACAACTCGTATTCCTTCTGTGCTTTATTGTATGTGAAAAAATGTTTTTGTTTTTGAATAAGTATCAATAAATGATTGAATGATTAATTAATTGTTTTATTAGGTCGTAATTATGCTACCGAGTCAAGCAATAATGCAGGAACAATTCAGGCTGTGATTGGTGCTGTTGTTGATGTACAGTTTGAGGAAAAAAGTTTACCGCCAATTTTGAATTCGTTGGAAGTACAAAAACCGGATGGTAATCGTCTTGTTCTTGAAGTGGCCCAGCATCTTGGCCAAAATGTCGTCAGAACAATAGCTATGGACGGTACAGAAGGTAATTAATCAACCAATTGATGGATGAATGGTTGAATATTTTATTATTAATTATCAATTAATTTGAAAAATTGATCATTTGTTATCTAATAGGTCTTGTTCGTGGTCAAAAAGTTTTAGACACAGGTTCACCAATTAAAATTCCTGTAGGACCTGAATGTTTAGGACGTATCATTAATGTAATTGGAGAACCAATTGATGAACGAGGTCCAATTAAAACAAAAAAAACTGCTGCTATTCATGCAGATGCACCAGAATTTGTAGATCAATCTACAGCTCCTGAAATTCTTGAAACTGGTATTAAAGTTGTAGATTTGTTGGCCCCTTATGCTAGAGGTGGTAAAATTGGTTTGTTCGGCGGTGCTGGTGTAGGTAAAACTGTGTTGATTCAAGAGTTGATTAATAACATTGCAAAAGCTCATGGTGGTTATTCAGTGTTTTGTGGTGTTGGTGAGAGAACACGTGAGGGAAATGATTTGTATCATGAAATGATACAAACTGGTGTAATTAAACTTGATGGTGAATCAAAAGCTGCATTAGTATTTGGTCAAATGAATGAACCACCAGGAGCTAGAGCTCGTGTTGCATTAACTGGTGTCACTATTGCAGAATATTTCCGTGATGATGAGGGTCAAGATGTGTTACTTTTTGTTGATAACATTTTCCGATTCACTCAAGCCGGTTCCGAAGTATCTGCTTTGTTGGGTCGTATTCCCTCGGCTGTAGGTTATCAACCTACTTTAAGGTAATTTTGGTTTTGGATAATTTGATTTTTTTTTTTTTTTTTTTGCTAAATAGTAATAATAATAATAATTTTGACTTTTGAAAATATTTTATATAAATCAATAAATTCTTAATTAGTACTGGTAATGCATTACATATCAATATTTTATTTTCATTTTTTTTTTTTTTTTTATAAATTTTATTAATATTTTATTAATAATAAAAATCTTTTAATTAAAAGATATGGGTGGTATGCAGGAAAGAATTACAACAACAAAAAAAGGATCTATTACTTCTGTACAAGCTGTGTATGTACCTGCTGACGATTTGACAGATCCAGCCCCAGCCACGACTTTCAGGTAAAATCAAGAAAATATATTATCAAGTATAATAATAATAAATAATAAATAACAATAATAGCAATAACATTAATAAATTCAAATCTTATTTAGTCATTTGGATGCAACCACTGTATTGTCACGTTCCATTGCTGAATTAGGTATTTATCCAGCTGTGGATCCACTTGATTCAAAATCACGTCTATTGGATCCTAGAGTGGTAGGTGAAGAACATTATAGAGTAGCCACAGATGTGCAAAAAATACTTCAAGATTATAAATCTTTGCAAGATATTATTGCAATATTGGGTATGGACGAATTATCAGAAGAAGATAAGGTAAATTTTTTACATGCAAAAGACGATTTTATGTTGAAATGATTTTAAATAATTATTATCTATTTATATTGAATATTTAGCAAACTGTTGAGCGTGCAAGAAAAATTCAAAGATTTTTGGTAAGTAGATAACAATTATTATTATAAAATATATATATATACATTTAATAATTATAATACTACAATATTATACATACACGGTTGTAGAGTCAACCATTTGCTGTTGCACAAGTTTTCACTGGTTATGAAGGACGTCTTGTTAAATTAAAAGATACCATTCGTTCATTCAAAGAAATTTTGGAAGGAAAATGTGATGATTTACCAGAAGCTGCATTTTATATGGTTGGTGATATTGACGATGCAAGAAAGAAGGGAGAAGGTAAATTAAAAAATAAATTTTCTTTTACATTTAGTTTATTGAGATTCTAATCATATTTTCTTTTAACAAATAGATATTGCGAGAGAAATGGCCAATCAATAAATATATTAATTTATTTATTTATTAAACATAATATATACAGTGCAGTCGGCGCTGTATATAGTGGACCTATTATGTAGTGAATTATACTATATAAAGAAGTTAGAAAATTTCCCATTCATTATATATAAATTGCATGCCAGTCCAGTGAAATGTCCCTGTCACTGATTTTAATTGTAAAATTTTTCATGTAACGAACTTTAATAATTAAATTCTTTATAATTTATATATTAAACAGTGTTTTGGCTTTAGACAACTTTAAGTTTTTGATTTTTGCTTTTCATTTGACGTTTTTCTTATTCATCAAATATATAGGTTAGACATCAAAATAACACTTTCCTAACATAAAAAGAATAATCATTTCCGGTTTTAATAGTTGTAAGCTGGTTTTACTTTTTGAGAGGTCAGTGATAAGGTGTATATAATGAAGACTAAGTCATTCGGCTAGTAATTTTGGGCTTTCTATTTGCATTTGAATTTTACAGCTTTAAATGAATAATTTATCCCAGGAATGATTTTTATGTATTGCATTATTGGTCAATAATTAACTTTTAAATATTAATATATATACTGACACTTCTTCAATATCGAAAAGATCCAATGGGGTCAAAGATATATTTAACAAAAAATAATTATACACTTGTTAAGTGCGTTCATTTATTTTTCTAAGTATATATATATATATATATATATGTGTACTTATAATCTATAAAATTTATTCGAGTTTCAAACTTTTTTATTATTAATTCTATAAATTATTATATATTAAATTATAAATCTTACAATATTACTAATACTATATAAAAAATATATTTCTATAGTAAAATAAAATAAAAATACATTAGTATCATTATTCATCCAATTTAATGATCTGGTCCATGTGCAAGCGATATTTCAATTCCAGGGTTCTCTTCCAACATTTTTATTTTACCCATAGCATCCAGCATAGGTTTTGCTGGACAATTATCTGGTGCATAATGTACAACAAAATCACCTTTTTGAAAGCGTGGAGGAAATGTGTTAAAAGTACGATCATCTTGATCTGACATTATTACCTAAAAAATTGTAAAACCAAACACATAATATCATATAAATATAAATATTATAAAATTAAGAAAATCGAGAAATTTAATAAATGAGTGAACAACTTACTCCTGGCGCCCATTCAGGATCTCTCATAAGGTCCCACATGGCACGTTGTTCGAACATGCCTCCTTTATAGAGATCAGTACGATATTGACATTTTCTTATAAATTCTTTACTCCATTCTGAATTTCTTAACAAGAAAACACCAGCATTTATCATTTGATCTTTGACAGGCCTTGTAACAATCAAATTTATTTTGCTAAAATTCTCTTCACCACCAACCATATCTGTAAATTTTTTCAAAATACTTTCTATGGTAACTGATTTATTTGTAATGACTGTATCCATATCGAGCCAAAATATCCAATCATAATAAGGCAAAATCCTTTCTATTGCATCAAACTTGCCCCACACAGTTTTACGATTTTTGTAAATTTGTTGAGAAAATTCACGTGATCTAGCAATAAACGAGTAGCCATGTAGTTGAGCATAAGATCTTTTGTTATCGGCTGCTGGTTTTATAACAGGAAGCATACACAAATTATCGTAAACAAAACTACTGGTAACAACTGCAATTCTTGGATGATTGTTGTTGGGATGACAAATCAAAGTGGTTCTGATGGAAAGACGGTTTGTAACATCTTTCAAATCATCTTCAAGATAAATACCGCCAACTGCAATGGTTGTGTTTGTAGGAATATTTTCAACAGAACTGGGAAAATCAATTAATCCCACGCCATCATTAACAAAGAATAAATCAGTCTCATGAGGATATTCACGATAATATTCGTAAGTCTCGACTATTAAACCCTTCCTTTTTACACTGGCAGCTCTGACGGCATCTTTTGATTTAATAATGGTTGTAATAGCATTGTTACCAAGGATAATAGCCACATCATTTAACAAAGATTCAAATGGACCCCATACAAGATTACTTTTTTGTACATTAGTTAAAGATTGTCCACTGATTGTAGAAGATCTTAAAACCGATTGAAGTTTGTGTAAATCTATAATTGTAGAATCTTTTATCATTACTAAATGATCAAATGTAATGTCTTCCTCGAAAAGACTTTGCGTCTAAAATAATATAATAATAAACACATGTGTATTATAAATATATAATATAATATAGGTAAGAATTTTAAAAAATTTTTCAAACAAAATCATATATAAATTACAATAACACAAATATTACCCAATCTAAAATAATATCTTGCCATTCGTTATTATGATTTGGAAATTCCACAATATCATCAAATTCAACGGATTCAGCTCTAAAATCACGCAAGTGAAATTTTGGTATAACATTATGAGGTTCTACTAAAAATTTATAATAGATATCACCATCCTGGCGCATACAAGGTTTTAAATTATTACGAATTCCAAACAGATTTTCTCTCAATTCCTTTCTGTGGCGTACATGGCTTATTTTTGTGGAAATAACCAATAATATACTATAATGTCCACTTGTATTTACTGTTTCATTATTATTAATAGTTTTATCTTTAATTGTTGACTTTGAAGGAATTATTGTAATGTCGTCGTCATCAAAATTTGCATCAGCATTAAAGTATGGAATTTGATTGAAATAGGGCGATGAAAAAATAAATATCATAAGAGCTAAAGAAACGGCCACTATATAGATATAAATTTTATGAAGTCCATATCTTCCATGAGATGAAGGACTTTGTTTATCTTTATATATCATTTTATTAATTATTTATATTATCAACGTAAAAAAAAAAAATTTTTTTTTTTTCTAAATTTTTTTCTTGGTTCACTCATTATATAAATAGACAAATTTTAAATTGGTACAACACTGCCAATAATTACAATTAACATAATAATAATATATAATATTAATATGGTTTCCTAGGAGTATAAAATATTTTTAGAAAAAGCCCTGAATATTTATGCTTTAAATATTAATATTAACATTAATAAAATATTTCAAGTTTTGTATCTCATTTTTTATCAAGAAAATGTGACTGTCTCTAGAAAAACTACCTTTGAGCTTAATAAAAAAAAAAAAATGGGGGAATCGTGCTTCAGATACACTCTCTTTATTGATCTACGTACTTATTCGTCGTTACACGCAAAACATAAAACTAGTATAATTTTAGAAATATCTGCTGTTGGTTTTTGAATTTTGAACACTGCATGTAAATATATTAAACACACTATTACTATAGAGTTCTATTTCGGCAATAAAAGACCGTTTGTTATATTCGTTATAAGGAATTTGCGGATCGTAATCATGTGAGCAATTATAAGATTTTTTTTATTAAAAAAAATAAAATATTAATACATTTATTCGATATTAAGAAAGCTATCTAATGTTGATTGTTGATGTGAATCAAAATTGATTTTTCTTTTAATGATTTAAATTCGTTCCCACTTAAGTTGCAACTTCTAATGTTTTTATTTGTAACATGTGAAAATTCTTCGATTATTTTTTTCTTGGTTTTGGTCTTCCTCGGTTGAAATTATGTATTGTAGATTCATTTTCATTAGTTTTGTCAATTCAATGTATTAAATAATGTTTATGAAGATATGAACTAAAAGATAATGAATAATGGAGATGTATTTTCATTAATAAGGGAATATAATTTATTAATTTATTCGTATTACATATATAAACTCGATAAGTCGGTTTTGATCTAACTCGGCCAAAAAGTTTCACCCCTTTTTTTACTATTACTATTACTATTATAATTACTATATTAATATATATATATAAAATATAAAAAAAAAAATTCGATAATCTAAATAAAGTCCCGATAAACGCCAAGTCGGTCAATCACTTAGCAAATGAATCACGATAAGGGTCATCATTACTATTTTAGTAATGAGTGATTTAATGACATGCATTAAGTGATGGTCCGCGATCAACGATAAAAATTTAATATGCAGATCCGGGATATTAAACTTATTTTTTAAAAAAAAAAAATTCATTTAATATGGTATTAAATTAAAAAAAACCCATTTTCAGATGTTTAGAAATATAGTAATAATAAATTATTTTTTAATAATGACCATTATAGACTTTTGATTTACATTATTATTATATTTGCCAATTTGCATTGGAAAACAATAATAGTAAAAGTATATACTTATTGAAAAGGTTACATGAATAGAAGTTTGTGGATGGGGGATCAATAAGCACTAGTAGACGCCTTAAAAAGAAAACTAGATCTAATAAAAGAACTTTCTATCACTGAGATCACAATACACCTCTTTGTCAAGAAACTTATCTCAATATGTTAGGAATTGGTAGAACTTATTTTGAAAATATTAGAAATCATTTGATAAACAATGGCCTCCTGCCAAGAATTCATGGCAATATTAAAAGAATGCCTCAGTGAAAAACTAAAATGGTGATTGATAAAAATGTTGCAGAAGTAGTAAAGAATTTTCTGGAAAATTATGCAGAAGTTCATGGATTACCAAGTCCAGGAAGAAGTATCAATAGAATAACCCAATCAGTTATATTTTTACCAGCTGAAATGAGTTATAAATCAGTCCACAGAGATTTTCTGTCTGGTCTAGAAGAAGATAGTAATTCGAAATCTTTGAAGTATGATGCTTTCAGAAAATTGTGACATCAATTGACACCAGAAATTCAAATTATGAGTCCCAGGACTGATTTGTGTGATACTTGTCAACATTTTAGAGATGGTTTACATTATAATGCTCAGCAAGAAGAAGAAGCTAAAGATTTTCTCAAAAGATTCAAAGAACATTTGTCCAAGGCAATATTAGAAAGAAATTATTATAATAAAAATACCAAATTAGCAGAAGAACAAAGAAAACTGGTTAACCAAAAATATTCAAAGGGTAAAACACAGTATTGCAGTATTGATGCTACTGCACATTATATTTATGATTGAGCCCAAAATGTTCATGTGCCTCATTTAGATCAACAAGTAAGTAAAATTTATTACCTTAGTCCATGTAAAGTTCATTTATTTGGTATTCAAGATGAAGC